AGAAATGAACGTGTACTGTGAAAACTACACTGCGCATGCTGAGAGTATTTTTGTATTCAATGTGTGCGGCAAAAAAAGAATCACAAGTGGGTAAAAGTGCTCGTAGCCCCTCTAAAACGTCATCTCATAATTCAGAGAGCTGATTGGCTGTAAGTACGTGTGCCGCGAAAAGTGTAGTTGTGAAGAGACGAGAGAGAGCAGCGTATAGCTCACATCACCAGCGATTACAATCAGTAAAACGGAAAGAAAATGAATGAACCAGCTTTGGTAAGTTCATTTTATGTCATATCTTTTGTTGATCTTCTGTGTTTTGCCTATAGGCAATTGCTCTGCTGGATCGATTGATATTGTAACCACGGTGACAAGTGTCAGTGTTTTCCTTTTCATGCTGAAGTATTACGGTTGTTGTTATTGTTAAGTATTGCTTTGGGATAGCATCCTTTACTTCATTTATTAAGGTACATATATTTGAGGTACATTACAATATCACGTCACCACACTGTGTGCATAAATGTACGCGCTGACAGTGTTGCTCTGTGTTGTTAATTCACTGCTTCCGATAGTTGTAATGTGTTGCTCCCCTCTCTCTCACACAATCACACACACCCCACTCTCTCTTTTTGTATGTGAGGATCAGCTAGCTGTTGCCTCAGAACCATGGATAGCCTACAGCTATTTGTTGACGTGTTGAAAAAGCACAATAAGCCTATATATACATATCTAAGTTGTTCATGCCCCATAAGTTTTGTACATCTAAAAACGCCACTGGTTATCATAGATATAAGCAGCAAACGTTTTATGTAAAAAAAAACGGTAACACACGGTTAATATTCCCAAAGAAAATAGCTTTTATAAATATAGAACCCAATATAACAGTGTGTGTATTTTATTATGGATATTGTTTTTCTAGTAAAAGATAACCATGGGTATTTGTATTACATTGTCAGGAATCAATTTGGTAATAAAATAAACGTTATGCGATCACAATGCAGCTATTATCGTCCTTATATTTAAAGTGACATAAACTCTGCTTGTTAGATGCTCACTCTGTTTAAAAACAGCCTTGAGAGGCAAGTCCATTTTCTTAGAATGATCTTAATTGTACTCTTTGATGTGTTTATGACAAAAAAACAAGAAGAAAAAGAGGTTTACTAGGATTATTTTTCTAAGGGTAGGAAAAAGAGGATCAAATTATATACAATTGATCCAACACAAGGTACATATATGGATATTAATTAAACACAGGTGTTGCCATACGAAGGACATGACAGTAATGTTCCATAACTTACACAATAATATACAGTTTGTACAACAAAATAATCCCTTGTTTTACTGATGAAAAAAAGTAATTCTCTTTTTCCGCTTGGCAAAAAGAAAATTCCCCCAGCCAGAAATTGAGAACTTAACTTAAAACATTATCCAAGCAAAACCTGTTTTTACCTTTTACGCCATAAACACAGGAGAGAAACATATTGCCATCACACTCAAATTGCAAATAAAAAAAATACACATTGATCACCAGAATAATTTGTCTTACTTGACTTTCGTGGCTTCCTTAACAAAGCCTGAAACAGCAAATTATATCCTGTGATCTATTATAATCTTATTAGCTCTTTATTACTTGTCACTTTGTGGCTTTGTCTGGATCATGTAATGATGACTGCATTTATTCGTGTGAGCGCATTGGTCAGTTTATTTTATTTGCATTTTAAGAAATTATTTGAGTCAAGTCTTACAGTACACAGATGACAAAATGAACCCCTAAATACATCAAATAACTACATAACACATCCCACAATCAGTAAAAGAGGAGAAACCCTGTCTTACCACACTGTCATTATTTATGTTTTGTGTTGTATAACTTACCCATTTTTCCCACCTTTCATCAAAGATATGAACTTGGTTTTGTATTCTACGAGTCCTTTTTCCGCTATTCCTATGGAGTAAAGAGTAAGAATCTATTTTTGGGTTTCCTCTGATTTTTTCCCAAGTAAAATTATTAGTGGGTTAGGTTAATAGCTGTTGATATGTTTTTGATCGGATCCAATGAAGTTGAGCTGCTCGTGAGCCAGCTTTGTTGTCCTTAGCTTCACTGGTGCATCTAACTGTACTTCTTAATCCTAAGCAGAGGTGGTGTAGTACATTTTCTTTTCAGAGACCCTTATACTGTATGTCTTCGTCTGCTTCCCACAGGAGGACGTGAAGAGGTTGCGTGTTCATGTGGAGGAGGTGATCAAAGAAAATAAGAAGCTCCATAAGGAAATCACAAAGATCGGAGGGGTCAGCCAGAAGGACTGGTGAGAAGATATTCATCTATGCAATGTGCATTAGTTAAGCAATGTCAGCACATAATAGGCCATCACTATTCACCCCCTAAGATGATTTATGAATATGTAAAAAACATATTTACATCTTCTTCTCCGCTCCTATAGCTTCCCATCACTAATTAATTCTAACTTTTAATGTTGCTGACACCTACACACTTGCAGTATCTACTCTTTGTAAGTAGCTCCATCAAATCAGATATAGAGACTCAAGAGGTTTCTCAATACTCAAATTTCCCCTCCTCGACTCCTATCCTCGACTCCTCTCCTCGAGACTTGGTGCCGCCCACAGGAGATGCGAGCGGAGGACTGAGGAGGGGAACCGAGGAGAGAGGAGCGGAAGCAGCAGGCGGTTAGAGAAATGAGAACTCCTCTCCTCTGAGCGGTCATTTTAAAGAGACGTCCATTAATGATGACAGGAGCCCTCTGTCTGATGGACAGATGTGTTCATGACGACTTATATATATTTACTTTTAATTCATTCACAGTGCGGTATAATGAGACAATAACAGGCTACAGATGCGGACATAGACACACACACATATATTTATATGAATATATACAATTTCAGAATCAAAAAACAGTATGAGAGCACTCTCATAATAACGTAACACAATCAGAGACTGGATATTACGGGCCAAAAGTTGTACAAGTATTAAAAGTAAGCATAGCACACCAAACCAACTGAGACCCGTCTGTCCGCTGAATCTACGCACTGTACAACACACACACACCTACACACTGTACCACACACACCTACTGCTCCTAAAGCATAATCAGGCTACAGCCGTTGTGTATTTTATTATGTGAAGCACTAAATGGTCTTAGAAAAATATCGACTCTTTGTTTGTAGATATCTACTAAACTACAGCATACAAATACAGAAAGTAATGTAGGCCTGTTATACTGAGTGATATATATTTTACACACTGCTCTGTTTTCTGCACGGACCTCAAAGCTGTTCTCACTTTAAACATCGCGTTGCGATGAAAGCAGACAGTTACTAAAATAATATCCAAGGGATGCATGCAGAGCTGTCATTGGCTGAGATAAGTCCGGCCGTGCGTCACGCCTCCACCGTTCCCGGAAATGCATCCGTTGAGGAGCCGTGGAGGACCCATCAGTGTCTCCTCGGTTATAGCTCCTCCAGAGAGCCTCCTCGACGCTCGACGCTCGATGCTCGGTCCTCGAAGTGCATTTAGAGAAATTAGATGTCCTTCAAAATGGCGCGCTGAAATTCATTTCCGGGTCACTACCGGAGGACCAAGGAGTCGAGGAGGGGAAATTTGAGTATTGAGAAACCTCTATAGAGTGGTGCAGGAATCTGTCTTAAAACCAGGAAATGAGTAAGCCTTTTACCGCTCTCGAGGTCCCTCTTCTTTTAACGTGTTTTTGGTTAGATGCCGGAAATGAGGTCTGTGAGTCACACAAAGCTAAAGAGATTGTGTACCTTTTTTTTATATGACATAAAATGTGTCTTTGAGTATCCCACCGGTGAATGTCAGAAGCTTCTATGTGTCATAAAAACAGACTAAATGAGACTGCTAAATATCATCATGACAAATATTTGCCGCCTTTAGCATAGCGGTGACGATGCACTGCCATGTGGTCATAGTGTAGCTTCTTTACAGCCTAACGTTAGGATTTTACCTCTGGCAATTGCATTTAAGCTTTAAAAATTAGTAGAGTTGTGTTTTATGTGAAGATGTTCCTGCTCAACAAAATGTGATGGTATCCTAAACGTTTGTATACTATAGATCTTGTTTTCTGCAATATTCAAAAATCCAATGGAAAAACCCCATTGCTTTTAGTGGAGGGAGCCTTTGATGCTAACTTCCAGGTCGGCCTAAACAAATGTGTCATCCCTGCACACCTCTATTTGAACCTGTTTTAATACTGTTTGGTATCTGCTACTGCTTTCTCTGATTTCATCCAGAGATCACAGATTCATGTAGAGAAAGAGAGGAAAAAGCTGTGCAGCTTTTGAATATTGAATCAGAATTTGAATGTCGACGTTATGAATGAAGCCTCAAGGCTACAAACTTTTCTGTTCAGACCCAATTTACAAAAAACATTTTTTTTTGCAATTTTATAGCAGCTTCCTTTAATAGACATAAACTCTCTTTATCTCTCTGTCTGGTGTTTATTATAATGCTTTCCTGTAACGGAGGATAGAAGAAGGATAGAAGAGAACATCAATATAGAAGAATGGAATATATATTTTTAAGGTTTTTTTATGTGGTCTGTAAAGTATTGAATTACAGGCCATATGTATGACAATGTTTTGGTTTTTAAGTTATTTTAAATAAAGGTTTTTAAAAAATCTCTCTCTTTCTCCAGTCATCAGATACAACAGCAGGCCCTCCTGGTTCTGCAGGAGAACCAGGTTCTGCTGGATCAGCTGGAGGCTCAGCACGTAAAGGCCAAGGCCAGCACCACCAGACACCAGGCTGAAGGTACAACGACTAACCCTAAGCAAGGCAGATTATGTTTTAGTTTTTCATGTGTAAAGTTAATTACAAACAATTATAGAAACAAGTAAAATAAAACAGTTTTCATGCTATAAATGATTACCTATATCTTAAAATGTGCCTTTCCAGAGTGAATGAAAATGGCCCACTGATTTTGCTTTTAAATTTGAAAATGGGGCTGTGAAGCAAAGGATAAATTAAATCTTACGTCTCCAGCATAAGCATCAGAGTATCAGCTTCTGTGTTGGGATAATGTGTAGCAGCCTGGTGTCCTGTCAGATGCCTGCATTTAATAAACTGTGAGCTGTGGACAACAGATTTAGATCACTCGTAGACATTTACTGATCAATTCAGACTGATCTTTAGATGTTCCTGAAGTTATCAACATTAAGCATTATATTATAAAGACTAAAATCCCTCCAGATGGAGTTTCTCTCCCACACTCCCCCAGCTGCCTGAAACGCTTCCATTGGACTCCTTTGTTTACTTGTGTTACATAATGACATCACTATGTTACATTCACGCTTCTATTGGCTAGCACTCCAACATATTGTATGTAATAGGCGAAGGCTCGGGACATCTCTAAGCAGTTGACCAATCACAGCAAAGCCGGCCAGCAACCAATCAGTATGAGAAAAATAAAGACCTTTTTGAACATTAAATCACGTAAGCATGTCACAGTAGAGCAGTGGTTCTCAAACTTTTTCTATCAAGCCCCCCCATTGGAGAAAAAAAAAAGTCGGCCCCCCCCAACACAAATAGTCGCTTAATGGGCCAAGTTAACATTTATTAAAATACATCGATATGAACGTGTGCATTCCTTTGCTAGAACAGTGAGTTATAATACTTTGCCACTTTGCAATCTGTGCAAAAAAATGAAAAGAAAGAAAATGCTGATATTTGGCAAAGTGTGTCTTATCACAGCATTAGTGGCTGCAATGAGCCTGTTTTGCACTGCACATTTCTTCAAAACGGGGTTGCAGGCTCAGTGGCGGCACCAGAGATTTATTTTGGGGGTGCTATGGGGTAGCTTGACGTTTCATAGAGGGTGCTCAATCATTTAGGGTTTCCCATTAATGTACCGGTCGCTACAGTGGAATTTTCTACTGCAACACTCCCCACGCAAATACACAGTGTGACAGTTGAATGAAGGCTCGATAATCAGCTCACGGCATATAGGTGTTAGCAGGGGTCAAGTGCTATTTTTATAGGTGGTGTGTGGACCTTACATCCTCTAGGGGGGTCCGGGGGCAAGCTCCCCCGGGAAGATTTATTTTTTAAATATTGAAGTTGAAAGCATCAATCTGGTGCACTTTGAGAGCAAAATGAAGAGATCTATGATACATCTCTCAACACCCATATGAAACAGAACTGTAAACAGATTTACTATTTCTTTATAGATATTTTACAAATCACTCCCCTTTTAACACATTATTCTTGTTTAACTGTCATATAGTATTTCAAACCTGTTTGTCATTTATTCTCTTATTTTTTTATAACTATAATGATCATTTAAACGTGATTGTTTTTAATCGTGACCAAAACGTTTGAGACCCAGTGAGATAACTTAGAGAATTAAGTTAACTATCTAAACACTCAGAGAGTCCTTCAGTTCACTGAGCCTCTCAGTCTGACAGGAGAGGACTCTCCTCCACTTTGTTGTTAAAAAAGCTCCTTATATCCGTTAGCGTAGCTCGCTAGCACCAGAAGCTAACAACAACGATCTCCGGTACCGG